CCCACACACGGGATCAGCTCCGTGCAGTTTCATACACGAGTCCGGACTGCTCACCTAGGCGATTTGGTCAAGAACCGTTCTCTAGAAATGCTTGTGGGCATTCTCCGGCGACTGGGTCGCCACCTGTGTCGCCGAATGGACTTGCCGAATCGATATGGGGGATGCAGATTAACAAGGTGCGGATCGGCCTTAGCTTGAGCCCGCCAACATGGGGCCTTCAAACAGGGTCCGGCTACGGGTCACCTCGGAGCCCGACAACATTCCGATCTGGATTCTCGAGTTTGCCTTCAACTCCGGCCTGGAGCCGGACTCGGTCCGGATTCAGTGCGTTTGACATCTCAGAAACCGCCGCAGAAGAGGAACCAGTTATGGAGAGAGTGGAGTCTGGTAAGGACTTGCGGGCGAAAATCTACGCGAAACTCTGTAGGGAAAACTCGCTCCACCGAGCCGATTCAAGCAATACGGATACTGATGATGTCGGGTGGGTTTCAGAACTCGTGGGATCATGAGCAACCGGGTGAATGGCTTTTGACTGTGAATATTATCCGTGAAGAGGATTGCTGTGTAATTTGTTAATAGTTTAATTATCAATTTGATTTTTGATTTCAATATCAAAATTTCAAAATGTATTTTCACCTGTAAAATTAATTTTCTTCTTGAGAATTAAAATTTTCACTGTACCATTATATATGTGATGTCGTGCTTCAATACTTGTTTGATTTATATTATAATTTTGTTGGAATTGAAGAGAAAAAATTAAATATAAATTTTAACCACAAATTTCGTAAGAAATACATTTGCTTTTCAGTTATCTATTATTCATTTTTATTGAATTTATATTTCTCCCAAACAAGAATTCGCAATTTTGTCTTTCTTGTGAAAATATAATTTTAAATTGTAATTTGGAAGTTGTTCGATTTAGATTACCATATGCATAATAATGACGTCGAGCAAAGTAAAATTACTTATAAATTAATGTTTTCTAATGTGTATGAATAACTTAACGATTGATTTTACTAATGGTAGCTGCACTTTGTATCTAGTGTTTCCACGGTTATTGAAGTTTAATTTGTTTTAGATTAATTATTAATGATTGAACTTTACGAAAGATTTCATTTAACTGGGAGTTTGAAACATATTAAAGTTGATGACGATAAATGCAAAGTTCATTAACATTAGCATAAAATAATGAAGTGTATGGCTTTCCCAACAACTTTATGAAACTAGCATAGAAACCACTTTTGTTAAACCGATCAATCTGTTTTATCGTATTCTTAAGATTAACAATAGACTTCATATCAATCTATTCAACAAATTTGTTTGATACAACATGCAAGTAGTTATAAAATATATTATATAGTACTAGATTTATGTATAATATAGTATTGATTGAGACTACAATCTAGTTTGATTGTAATGATCAAGTTGGTGCCACCTCTCATTCTTAGGCCCCAATAGGTTGAATTTCAAAAAGATGCGACAATTTGAGATTGATCGAATTGACATGATGATTAAAGTCAACAATTAGGCCAAGCGATCGAGTTTATGCCATACTGTCGACTCAAGCAACAAAAGGACAACAAAAAATGCCAAACACATCGAAGATTGACAAAGTCCAAGATGTCGAGCTCCAATGGTCTAGAGATGGGCAAGCTCAAGTGAAATGTGTTGGAAAAAAAGAAAATTAATGATGCCAAAATATAACCACTTATTGTAGCAACAAATTGGTTTCCAACTTAGAAAAAAAAAAGAGTAACTTAGTTCTTAAACTTTAGTTGAAGAATCAGTTTTTGTTGATCAATCAAATAATCCATGAATATCCAATGTTATGTTCCCACCTGTTTGGTTTAGCTAAAAAAAAAAATTGATAAAAAATGATGAAATATATAGTAAAGTTGTGGGTTCCAATTTACGGTAGATGAGAAGGTTCTATCGGAATAATTATTTATTTCAGTACAAGAAGATATTAGAACATTGTTGCCATTTCCAAATATGGGATAAATTATAGGAATGAATGAGGTACTCTTGATCAGTTGAGAGAAGAATTTTTAATTCCTACACGGATAATTAAATTTAAAAAGAAAAAGTAAAGGAAGGCATAAAAAGTGAAAAATATATAAATGTATAGTTGAAAACGAGTTTTAAAAAATTGAGGTTAGAGGTGGCAAAAATGTCGAGTAAATCATCGGCTCGGTTGATCGAAGCTTAGCCCATGGGTAGCCTCTCCGGTCTCAGTGACTGTGGTGAGCCTCCCGCCTCTCTCTCCTTTCTTTTTGGTTTTTGTTCTTTTAATTTATCATTTTTGAGTTACAATTTATGCCTTATGAGTTATAGTGATAAATAATTCAAGAAAAAAATCCCTACCTCCTACATAAATGATTATTGGAGAATTTTGCAGATCATAAGTAATTTGAAAATTTTTTATTGATAAGTTGGGACCAATTTTAATTGATTTTGTTAATATATTGTGCATGTTTAATTAATTTTAATTGAAAAATGATCATTAGGGCTCTGTTTTTTAAGGTGTAATGCATTCTTTGTTTTTGAACCAATTTTAATTGAATTATAAATTGGGGCCTTTTGCAAATCATGAATCGATTTTTTCAACCAAAACGAAAGTAATGCATCTAGTCCCATCAACGTTCGAAACATAAATAAACGACATTGTTTTATGAACGTTGACTGTTGTTGGTCAATGATTAACATTCGCCTTAACTGAACTCAAATCCTGGATTCTATAATTCGTTAATTGAGAATTAATTATAGTATTTATTACAATTTGTAAAATGAAAAGTAAGATATTATTGGAATAATTGAATTGTAGTAGGGTTATACTCGTCCAAAAAGAGATCTTCACCTGATGTGATATTTAATATATTATAGATTATAGATTTTTAATTTTTAAGTTGAGGATCAATTTGACCTGACTTGAATTGATTCGATCCAGTGTTTGACTATGAAGGTAAAAATAAAAATATCATTTACAATAGTTTTACTTTGTAAGATCATTTTATGTGTTTAGAAAGCCTTTTAAAAGACACCCTATTTACTATGAATGGTCTCAAACAATAAGATATTAATTTCTTTTTTTGGGATGAAAGTATTTCCGGTCAATTTCCTCTGTGGTCATTGAACTTCTCACAAAAGTTCAATTGAGTCATTAAAATTTAGTTGTCTCTGCTGAGCCTCTAAACTTTGATTTTCAATGGAAGAATTCAATTTCAAAACTTTGTTACATATTTTGTTTCTAAATTTTTCTCCAAGACATCAATGAGATAATTTGCAAGAGAAAAAGCCCCTCAACAAATTCCCATTGCAAATCTTAAAATAAAATTTCACAGTGAGTTTTCACCTTATTAATATTATATACTTTGTATTTAATTATGCTAAGAATTTATTCTAAAACATAGAGACTATGTTCGTTGCATATTCTATTGCTAAAAAAAATATTAAGCTCTCGTTTGATAGGGATTAAAATTAAAATTTTAATTTAAGTCAAAATCAATGATTAATTTTAACTATATATGTCATGAGATCCACAATTTTTTAATCATACATTTCATCAGTTTTTATCAAAATTTACTAAAAATCTGATTTTAATCTCCATCAAATAGGGGCTTAAATATTTTCTTTTAATTTGATTAAAAACATATTTAAAAGATGTGGAATAAAACCCGCCATTGATATCCTCGATTTTCGACATGATTTTCCCATCGTCGATACCACATTTTTTACTTTCACTTTTCCAGATTAATAACTAGGAAATTATTAATGAAAGAAGTAATTTACTTTTATAAATATTAAAAAAAAAAAAAACCTAATTCTGCTTTGTAAAAATTCACAGCCTCTCCATTTTTGTTACTGAAAAGGGCAAAAAGAAGTTGATCTTCTGCATGGCTTGAAGCCATGTTTGGCAATATTCATTTCACATGCTTAAAAAGGACATAATTCTGCCAAACTTAACTATCGTCATACTTATATGACTTTGAGTCGGGTGTGAAGAACATAGAACTGAATGATAAACCCAGCCATCGAACAGGAAATAATTAATTAAAGGTGAAACTCCGGGGAAAATACGAAGAAAATTTGAGTGCGTGAATGACCATAATATTAATCAACATATGAAACATGCACACATGACGCGTATTATATATTGACCATTTCAGCTAGGGGCGGAGCCCCATATGGTCCAGTGTAGGCCTAAACTTTCGGCTCAGGCCCATTCCTATATTTTATATTTTATTTTTTTTAGAGCCCCATATTTGGAATGCAATGGTAGGATAAACCAAAGTTTGTTGAATTAGTACGCTAAAATTTGCCTGCACTTGTCTATTTGTCGAATTAGTATACTAAAGATAAGTGTATTAGGCACTTGTAAAATGACTAATCAAAATTTTATCTTGCCAACTTCGATGAGATGCATCCATGAATTGACAGAGTTTCTACGTAATAACGAGATATTCAAGTTTTTTTTGTAAGACAAAAAGATAATACATTCTAGTATAAAAATTCGTTATTCTTTTTTTTAGTAAGGTTCTACAAGACAAAAGGACAACATAGAAATCCAATTTTTTGAATGAGATAATTTTTTAAGATTGATAATAAAGTTATTGTATAACGATATCAAAGTATAAAAACTCGTAAAAAACAAGAGTAACCTATAAAATATACGTCATTTTTAGTATTTTTGTAGTATTATTTTATTTTTATCATTATTAAAAAATTTGACGATTATTAAATTGTGTTCGCATTGAACGAATTTCCTGACTCTTCCATGATTCAGCAATCTTAACCTAGAAGATTTAAGGCAAAAATAGAAGTGCAAATCGAAAGGTCTTGCAAAGTCAAGCAAGCAAAAGGGCCTAAAAGTATATGCAATAATTTTGAAGCTACGAAAAGTCTATAAATGAAACTTACTTGGTACTTGCGTGTCTATTAATTTTCTTCCTTCACGAGCACACACACTGTTTCTCTCTCTACTCTAGACAGATAGGCTAGCCATGGTAAAAACTCCTTGCTGTAATAAGACTAAAGTGAGAAAGGGGCTTTGGTCTCCGGAAGAAGATGCAACCCTCAAGAATTACATTCAAAACTATGGCACTGGTGGCAACTGGATAACCTTTCCACACAAAGCTGGTCACATCTCTCTCTCTATCTCTCTGTTAATTACCCCATCCCTCCCATTTCTGTAAATGCATGCTTGTTCTTGCCTCAAGTAGCCACAGATCACGTTCAGTACATAGTAGTGAATTCGACTAGACACTTCAATTCTTCTTCTTCTTTCTTTCTTTATTATTATAATATATTTTTTTCGCGTTAGCACTCCACCTAACGAAAACATGACTAGGATTCTTCGTCATTTGAATGCAACATGTTTAATTTTCAATTTTCTTTATGTGATATTTTCAAGAGGGTTGCTCTGTTCAGTAAATTTGACACTTTTGACATTCAGCAATACATTATTATTCACATTTTCAGTGTTCTTTCTCATAGTTGGACCATTTAACATGGTATATGTTCAATCCCAACAATGGCTACACGATGTTCTAGGTTGATTTTGTAACATGTTTTATCTAATGCATTCTTGATTGCACAGTAAAAAAATAATTAGTTTGCTGAGGTGTATTGTATAGCAACTCACGTTGTTTAGAAACAAAAATAAGTTAAATTTTGTCCATTAATTTATCCTTGTTCATCAGGTCTTAACCGTTGTGGCAAGAGCTGTCGTCTCCGGTGGCTTAATTACCTTCGACCGGATATCAAACGCGAAGCTTTTACACTAGAAGAAGACAATATCATATACACTCTCTATGGTGTCTTGGGAAGCAAGCAAGTTCAACGTTAATTATGATTTTTTTTTTCTCTTAATTTTTATTTATTAACATTTTTATTTTAATTCATAGATGGTCTATCATAGCATCTCATCTACCGGGAAGAACAGACAACGACGTGAAAAACTATTGGAACAGTAAGTTAAAGAAGAAGCCAATAGCAGCAACATATGGTTATAAGCCTACAAATAGCATCGACACCATCACTGCGAAAACCGACCTCTTGTCTTCAACCACCAACACTTTGGTTCCCACATTTTCGGCTCAAGAGACATCTCTTATAACTCCTTGTTTAACTGAGAGTACTAAAAATCCAAGTTTTTCTTCATCTTCCCAACAAGATTCAACCATATCTGAAACATTTTCACAGCTTGGAGAAAAATATATGTTTGGCAATAGCAGTTGCAGCAAGGGGATTCCAATGGATAATATTGACTATGGATATTTTGATGAAATTCTGAGTGAAATTTGGTCCCAAGAAGCAGCCACTGGAGGAGTTCCTAATTTATATTGAAATCAAAAGGAGATGTCTTTATACATATATAATATAGCTTAGTTATGGGATTGTTTTATTGATATAACACGTGTAAACATTTGATACAAATTAATCTCCAGAAAAATGAATTGAACTTGGTACATTCGATAATTATTTTAGCCTTTGTGTACAATGTCATTGCATTAATATTTATAATGAAAAGTAATAGTGGTGTCAAATTGAGTCGGACTACTCGAGTCATAACAAGCCCAACTTCTCCCACCGAAAAGTACTTGTTGTGTTTGGTCCCTATATGGATTTCCCAATATACTCAATGCGGTACAGCGCGAGAGAAATTAAAACACATTATAATCAACAGCAATGCTACTGGTACATAGGCGTGTACATAATGTGAGTGGAGGTGAGGCCTATGCTACAGTGTCGTGGGCTCCACCACACTCACATTATGTACATGCCTATGTACAAGTAGATTATCTTATAATCAATCTTTACATGGAACTTTGAAAGACTAGTTATTTGTGGAGTGATAGTTGCCGTTATAATCTATTTTTTCAACGATTCATCCGGTAACTTCGCAAACTTCAAAATGGGTCCCTAAAAACGTAGTATTCAAACAAGACGACAAAAAAAGGAGAAATCAACGAGGATAAACAATGAATTTTGATGCACAACAAAGCTCAAATAAGAAATCTCCCTACATTGTTACTAGTGGTTTTTGTGTTATTTTAAATTTTTAGATAGACAAGAAAGTGAGGGCGTGATCACCATCTCTTGTTTGATTCTTTCTAGTCAATGTCATGAAAGCTGCAGCATAGGGCTGTCCATGGCCAATGCAAATCCGAAGAAATGACTCTCTCCTAAATCGTCCCAAATGATCCTCTCAATTTATTTTTTCTCGTTCTCTAAAGAATATTTGGCCAAGCTAAAAGCTACTTATTCTTACTTCTAGTTGACAATGTTTTTATAAGCATTCTCAATTAATTAAAATACTTTTTTTAAACTTACGAGTAAAAAACTTATTTATTTTCAAATATTTCGAAAGAAAATTATTATTTGTGAATTTTTTTAAATTAGCTTATCCAAACATCCACTGTCGCATACACACTCCTAGAAACTTTATCGAAGTGTTTTTAAGGTGGTAACAATGCGTGATCAAAGCATGTGCATATATGTCCATGTATCTTGTTTTTATGTTATTTGGTTACCCAACTTTCTCGATGATGGAGACACTCCATTAAAATTCGTTAATATTTTGAGCAGATCGTTTGATGTAGCAAATGGTCTCATGAAGTACATATACACGAAAATCAAAATCTTTCATTCAAAAATGTGTAAGGAGAAAAGGGTGGGGATACCTCCCTCAATTTCTTGTAGAAAATCCATAAAATTGAATTTATTTAGAATAAAGATAGAAACGTTAACTTAAAGAGTTTGAAGACTTATCTTTATAAAAATGATCTTTTAAGATGGAATTAAAAGCCGAATATGATCATCTGCCTTCAGGGTTTTTACCGTTCGACCGTAATTTTTATGACATGTTATTCAAAATTTACTTGGTGCATTCGAGACGTGGAGCAACTAGAAATACTAATTGGCTCAATTACTTGCGATTTCCCTGTTGCGTGATCATATTTTGGCAAGACCGTGTTCTTTTGTAGCAATGATTCATGGCTAGGAATCAATATTCGAAGGAAAACTTTCAAGCATGAATGTCTATTACACTCACTGAGAGGCAAACCTTCTTCCACTCTACGCCAAGTACCATTTTCTCTTATTCCTTACGCCATTTCACTAAGAAGTGAAGGAGAAGGGAATTTAATTATATCTTTGTTGATTAATTGACTAAAAGAATGCCCATAGCGAAACGCCGCCACCTCCGAAAATCATCAAGCTCGGGCCGTGCACTGTACGTAACACCTCCGGCAGATTCTCCTAAAAAACCAGTTGCCATTCCAGTTCCAGATGCCGGTTCAGAAAGTTGTACAGTCTCCTCCGGTCCAGTTATGGCTCCACCCATGCAGTACTGCGAAGAAAAACTTTCATGGCTAAAATACACACAAGCAGAAATAATGTGTTGTAGACTGCACCCATTGGAGATTAGAGTCGGCTGAGTGGCGGTGGTTGGGAAGAGGGGAGAGGATTTGGTGAAGAAGTCGATATGTTCAAGTGACACATTTCTAGACCTAATGAAACTCCCGTTGTAAGAATGCTACAAATCCAACGGTGCAATCCTACTGAACAAGTTGGAAAACGGTAAACCAAAATTAACATAATTTAATGTAGTTGTGAAAGTTTTGATTGTATTACAATCTCAATTATAACAGATAAGCAGCAATATCACACATTATACTTCCAAACATTGTCTATACAAGTACTAGAAATCGACATACACAAAATAGGGTGGGAGCGGCAGCTCACGATATGGTCTCCATCTTTATACAATTTCTTCAAAGTTCGGGTTGACAACTGCAAAAGAATTGTCCTAGCAAGTGCAGTGCTAAGAGCTCAATGCTGCAATACGCGTATAATTTATCACGAAGGCTCTCCCACATCAAATAATAACTGAGGAATGATTTAGACTTGCTTTACATCAAGGTTATATCATTAGGGAGTGTGCATGTGTATAAATTATTCTTGACCCCCAGTTTGATCCCGGTTGAACCCTTGACCCATTATGTTGCCTGAATGGGGTTTTAAAAGAGTTAATTTAATTAATGATTATTGAACTTTATTATTGGTTATTACTTGCTCACCGAATTTTAGAAAGTTGCTCTTTGCTCACTGAACGTTACTATAGATTACTACTTGTTCACCGAAATTTAAAAAGTTACTTATTGCTTACCCAAATTTGAATAAAGTTACTTGTTGCTTACTGAACTTTGCTATAGGTAACACTGGTGGAAATGATATGGGTGATTGATGGGTAACTTTGTTCAAATTTGGGTGAGCAACGACTAACCTTTTAAATTTTGATGAGCAAAGAGTAACCTATAACAAAGTTCAGCAAGCAAAGAAGGACTTTTTCAAATTTCGATGAGCAAGTAGCAATCTATAACAAAGTTCAGTGACCATTGATTAATTTTACTCGGTTTTGAAACACTCATAACACCGGATATAGAAAATGACCTTGTTAAAGTGCCATCTCTGCCTGCAATGCAGCAAGCTCATCTTCCTCTTCTGCATTTTTGCGAGCAGCTGGACGTACAGGTTGCTTTCCAGCGGGCACTTGAATTGCAGCAGCAGGGGCAGTTGTGGCAGGTTGCAAGAGTTGTTCCTCCAACTCAGCTCCTTCCAGCTCTTCAAGTTCTGCCTCTAATTCATCCTATGAAAGTAAAGGAATATGATATTGTCAAAGGAAGAACTCCCAATAAAAAGGCATTTTTCCTTTTTTGGTTCTTTTGCACAAATAAATAGGATATCAGAAATTGGAGAATGCAGACTTCATCAAAATCAGCCGCTGCACCAATTGGTGCTGACCGTGCTTCTTGAATCTGTTTCATATTTTCAGTCTGCTCATTGATCTCGTCCATTGTCTTGTCCACATCGTCAATGTTACTGAAACGGAAAAGGCAAGCAGAGAGTGTGAGAGAACATAATCCAGTGCATTTTGAAGGAATTCTATATCATGATAACTAAAGAATCAGAAACGAGTGACAACATAAAAAATGGAAACATATTCAAACTTTAGGTGCCCTATACTCTCACTATCATTCATTTACTGAGCTATTTTTAGAAATAGGAGTTTCTCTCGAAGCAATAATGTGCGATATAGTTGCCACTGGAGCTACAAAGAAATATCTAAGTTATGAGCTCAACACAACATTTTTCAAATCTTGGTGCAGCCTTTGAAAGTCTATTTTGAAAAGCTACTTCAAGTGTACACCAGTTCCCTTGCTCTGCAGATCGAATTAAATTTTCTTAATTATAAAGAAACAGTTAGACGGGATTGTAATACAACTTACGTCGCCTTCTGCATGGCTTTCATTGCAGCTCCTCCAGTTCTCAAAGCGTCGACAGTTTCTGTTGTAGCCTTTGCACCTTCCAGCATTATCATCTGAAAAGAGGTATAGAACAGAATGTTAACAATTCGAAATTCATAAAAAACTATCTTGTTCAAAAAAGATCACGAGCACCTGATCATGGATGCGCAACTGAAAATTTCCAAGCTGTTCAACTTGTTGTTCATAAAGCCTCTCTCTTCAAACATTGTATTGCAGCTGTTAACAAAGTTATGGTAGATAATTCATCATAAAAATTGCAAAGCAAGGGGAAAAAATTCAAGACGTACATTTAACTTTTTTTTTTTAGTATAAACAGCAGCACGTTTGTTTATGCCATGTTGCCTATAAGGGACAATGGAAGGGCAGCTCGCAGTATACAATTTTGTGAAAAACAGATTAAGTTGATCACAAATTGATACATGGATATTTTATGGCCTCGACTGAAAGGGGAATTAATGAGTCTACATTATCAGGTTAAGAGGCAATCCGAAATAATTGACATACTGGATTTTCAAGGAAAAATTGCTTTTAGTTGAATAAAATGTCGAAAATCATGGTGATAAGGCCAAGTATCTCAAAAAGGAAAGAATTCAAAAGCAAAACTCAATCTCACAGAAACTCTTTACTTCTCTTCACTACCCTAGTTGAGAATAATGAACAGACGAGATGACAAGGACAATTCTGGATGATGCTAATTTGTTGCTAAACAGGTAGGCCAGACACTGAGAAAGTACCTTACTATTGCTAAGGTTATCAAGCACGTAATCTGAATGAACAACATCTCAAGTCCATTGCTCTCTGAGCTTTATTTAGTTAATAAGTTGGATGTGTACGTATACAATCCACAAAAATATATAAATAGGCCTATTAGTTAAAACACATCAAATTGTACAAAGTTCTTTTTATACTTCCATAAATCTCCTTTTTTCTGAATTACTCTCTGTAATTGCAATTTTCATCCTTATACAAAGATGCCCTTCCCTACTTAATGTATATTTCAGTGACCAAATACAATTTTCAGTATGGCAGTTAGCTCAGACACAATCTATTCTAATGAAAAAATCATTTGTTGCAATACTTTCTGACACACATCAACTTTTTTTTTACAATACTAAACCATGGAACGGCACATGGAGAGTGGAGAAGTGCTACTACCTTTTGTGTAGGCCTATTCCTTGGACTCATTGTCCACCCAAAAAACAAAAACACTACTAATCCATGATAATGCAATTATACACACCCTGCATTAGTACAACCTACGATTTTTCATTTCACATTGCTCTCCCCAGAACTAAAGCTGTTTCCATTTTGTTTAATATTGTGCATATGAACTTGAGTATACACATTCTCTACGCGTTAAAATCTGTAGCTGTCATTGTAATCAATTTATTTTAGAATCAACCTAAAACATATTTCAGATTTTATTGATTTATCATGGCTACACACTAGTGAGGCCACGAACTTCCTAGTCGTTCAATTCCTTCTCCAGTTTGCTATGGCACAATAGCTGTGACCCATAACAAGAGGACTCAAAATGTGGTTTAACAGAAAAGACAGTCTTCGAAATGTCATTATAAGATTTATCCTTACACATTTGGTGGCACACGTCTGTTCTCTAAGTTGTATTCTTTCAGACCAAACAATTGAGTGTAATCTGTGTGCTACCATGGAGAACGCGGTTATCTATGAGACAAACATGGAATGGACCATATAAAAGAGGGAAATAATCATATGAAGTAAAGCAACATCCACCCAACAAATTTATTCTGCACCATCAACAGTTACAGGCACCTCTTAAAGCTTATACTACAGCAAATAGTAAACTTCGAATTTCCTCGACAAAAGAGTAAAATAAATTATTTTTCCCTAGGATATCACTTTCTACAAACTATGGCAGATAGTGTTAAAGTTTTAAATGTTTATTTCATATTTATCAATATTTATTTATTAGAAGTTGTAGGTTTGTCCTAGTCTTCAGCAATTTGATTTCGTGGCCGAGAACGTGTCAGGTGTGATCCTTTTTTTATGGTTAGTGCTATGTTGTAAAGCCTATTTATAGGCCTTTTCTTTGTCAATAAAATAAC